AACTGGCTGTGGAGAGGTGAGGCAGGGAGCCTTGTCCCTATTCTTGGGCTCTCTGCCTGTGGAAGGTGTGTGGTCCCGTGATGGGACCACGGTAGATCAGGAGAGACAGGCATACCTGCTTTTCTCAGTGGCTGCTGCCATCAGCCTCTCAAGGTTTGCCCATGTTTACTGTGCCTTATCGATGAGGAGGAAGGAAACTCTGAACACTGAGGAGAGCAAAAGTTTTTATTAAAACTAGAAAATTATCATTGTGCACTAGTGAGCATCCGTGCCCTGGAAAATGTGTAATAATTTGTGGATTTTAGCTTGTTAAGTTCAGAATTCTATCTTGCCCTACTCTTTATAGTTTTAAATTAATTTCAGGACATACATAGCTTGTCCCCACTGGTCATACATTAGGCACCGTCAGAACCAGAGCATGGTGAGATGAGTATTTCCTGGGTCATTTCTGTGTCGGGATGAGCTGTGGGGTAAAATACTGGCACACACACATTTGTTTAAAAGCTCTTAAGACTGTGTTTTGAGATTTAGAATCTCATAAGTTAAAAGGTAACAAGGAATACATACTGTGCAGTATGTACGTTAGGTTGGAGGGTGTGAGCACTGTGAAAATGAACCTTCTCACTGAGTGAGAAAATTAGGAAGTGACCTGGGATTAGGCTAGGCACTCAGACTTGGCTTCAGGAATTGTTAGTAGCAGGGCACGGCTTGTCTTAAAATGTATGAAACATCGAAGTTAGGAAGGAATTCATTGTAAGTTCTGGTAAAAAGTAAACAAAAGAGGCAGGTTTCTGTGGGATGGTTTGAGGAAACTTGGCTTTTCCCTGGGTCTGACTCGGAGGAGCTGAACTTCTGATTAACACCTATTTGGTGACTAAATCATGGCAGGTGAGTACGTTTGTGAGGATGAGGGGATATTGTTGTTGTCAGCTGAGGGGCCAGCCTGGATGGAGCCGGGAGGGACGGTCTGAGCGTCTGTGTATGTGCTTTCTCGTAGTCTCATCTGATTAGAACTGTGGGAGGTACAGGTAGGTGGGTGAGGTCAGGCCCTGCTACAATGTGTAGCGTAGACACGGAGAGGACCCGAGGAGTTGCAGCACCAGTCAAAGGGGCAACACCACTGGTGTTGGAGTGGATTCTGGCTGCGTTTCTTTAGAGGGTCTCTTAGTAACTGGCATGTACACAGTTTGCACACATGCACACAGTTTGCACACATGTACACACCTGTCGGATGTAGACAACAGTAAGGAAGAAATCCGGGCTGACCCCAGCATTTCAGCTCTGGGGTATTGGCATAATGGTCCTCATTAAAGAGGGCCTCTTGGAGAAGCCGCTGGTGGAGCTGTGCTGGTCGTTTGGCATGTTTGTTACATCTTCAGCTGTCTGATTGCTGTGCTGCTTGCTGTGAACATGTATGTGCTCCTGGAAGACAGGCGTGCTCTGTCTCTTGTCAGTTAGTCTGCAGCCTTTAAGAACAGCGTGAGAAGAAGCAGAAAATGCCCGAAGACTTGGTTATTAACCTGCCATTTCCAACCTGCCTTTGTACAGGACTTATTTAAGTTTCATTAAAAAGAGGAAAAACTGTGTTAAGGAGCTATAATTCTTCTTTGCACCTTTTATTATGCACTAGCAATTAACTCTAGTTCTCACGAGGTTGATGAATTTGAACTTGATCAATTATCTGATAGTAATTACAAGCATAGAGTGATTATCTTTGCTGAAGTGACATCCTTATTTCATCTCTGTATTTCTGGCACTTTTCATAAATGCTTGCATTTGTTTGACTTCAGAATAGGACTTGCTCTCTTGACTCTGTCGTTGAGGTCAAACTACTTAAACTGAGTGGTGCTGAACAAATCCTGGGGTGTGAAAACCCTCAGGGTGAGCCTGCTGGGAGTAGGAAGGGAGCAGGCTCAGTCTTTCCGCTGTAGACGTGAATGTTCTAATTCTTGCTTCTTGGCAGATTCCTTTTTTTTTTTTTTTTTTTCTAGTTCTTGGCACGGCTATGCTATCTCCCTCCCCCCTGTCCTTAGTGTCTCTATTCCTTCTTAGGGAGGGGATCTCTGCTGCTGGGATTGGCACTGTCTTGATAAATGTGTCTAGACTTGGGCTAGTTCTGCCCTCCTGGCTCCAGTGGGCCATTGAGAGAGAAGGGGAATCAGTCTTTGTATTAAGGCTGTCATACTATAGGACCACACGGTGCAGGATTTATACACAGAAGTGATCTCCCCTACATCCCTGGGAGCTAGAACTCCAGTATAAAGTCACTGACATGGCTTATGTCTTCCGTGGGTTTTTCCTTGACTATAGCTGACTTTTTCCTACTTGCATCTTGGTGTGGTCTGCTCCCCACAACTGTCTGTTTCCAGATACATTTCTTCTAATGATGTAAGCCATGTTACATCAGAGTCACCTGATAGACTGTTTCAAATTAATACACCTTTTAAAGGCCTTCTGTGTTAACACGGATGCGGGAGAAATGGCCTCGTGGTTAAGAGTACTGACTACTTACCCAGAGGACCTGGGTTTGATTCCTAGAATGCACATGGTGACTCAACGGTAACTCCAGTTCCAGGGGACCAGATGTCCTTTTCTGGCCGCTTTGGCTACTGCATGCATATTGTATACACGTATATGTGTAGGCAAAACAGCCATAAAACATAAAAATAGCGGTAAAAAAAATTAAACACAGTTAGGAATTAAAAGTTTAACATGTAAATGCTTGTTTTTCACATTTGATTTTGTTGCCAGTGCCCCCCCCCCCACCTTGTACACACAATTTGAGAACCTAGGAAAATGAGTAAGGGTTGGGCAGTGCTTAATCCCACACTAGGGAGGCACAGGCAGACGGAGCTCCGTAAGTTTGAGGCCAGACTGGTCTATAGAGTGAGTTCAAGAAAACCTAGGGCTGTTACACAGAGAAATCTTGTGTGGGAAAAAAATAAAAATAAAAAGGAAAATGAGTTAGGAAGGGCTGGGGATACAGTTAGATGGCATAGCCCTTGCCTAGCATGCTTGGATGCTTACATTCAATTCTCAGTATTGCCAGGAAGAAAAAGAAGAAGAAAAAAGGAAACCATTGGTGTGGGGGTAAGGGCTCAGTGATTAAAGTGCTTACTGTGTAGGCCTGGGACCTGAGTTCAGATCCTCTGCACCCATACCTGCATAGAATCAGAGTATGGTGCCATGTGCCTGTGATCACAGTGCTGTGGGATGCCGACAGTTTCTCTCCCACCAGCCAGTTTCTGAATTACAAACTATTTGACCTATTAGTTCAGGCTTATTGTTAACTAGCTCTTACAACTTAAATTAACCCATTTCTGTTATTCTATATTTTCCCACAAGACTCATGACTTGTTACCTCACATCTTGCCTGGTTCTATTCTGCCCAGCTATTGGCCTAATCAACTTCTTCCTTTTTAAAAAATTACTAATGGTAATAAAATATATTCACAGCATACAGAAAGGCACCCTACATCATCTCCCCTTTGCTGTGTAGTTAAAAAGGAAGGTTTTAACTTTAACATTGTAAAATTATATATAACAAAACAGGTATCAAGCAAGAACTACAGTTATAATATTTAATCTGTTTGTATTTGGCAAAAAGTCTGTTCATAATGGTGAGATGTAGGTTCAGAGAAAACACTGGGGTAGAGAAGTAGTTTGAGGCCAAGAAATCTTCATGTTAGCCTTTGGCTTCCATACATGATCACATGCACCTAAACCAAAGAAGAATAAATGGCAAAAGAAAAAAAATACTGATTTTGACTATGAGTGTGAAAGCTTGTGTGTGTGGTGTGCTGCGATTTATAGGATGTGTTCACATCATCTCCTTCCCACCCTAGCATGGCACAGGAATGCTGCCCGTGTTCCCAGATAGACCACCCAGAAGCCAGAGTTTCCTGACTCGCTTGTTAGACTCTGCACTGGCCGCCATGTGCAGGGAGGTTACAAGAGTAGTCCTTGTGGGCAGATCCCATGACCTTTGGTGATTGGATTTTTGTGTTCTGGAAGTTGGGGGGGTGGGGGGGTTAGAGGCACTTCCTTGGCAGTCAGTGTGTTCTTGTTAGCGCCAGCATTTGTAGTGCAGAAAGCAAATACACAGTCAGAAAGCTGTGACTCTGTAAGAAAGGAGACAAAGCCCCGTTCTTGCTGAGTGTTATTTGGTAGGAGGCTTTTCAAGCATAGATGTAGTAAGTTTGCTGTAGTGAGCTCCATGCTCCAACTGTTACTTGAGTTTTGCAAGGCTTCATGTGTTATCGCTTTCTTCCTCTTAAAACAGCTTGTACACAAGGTACTCACAACTTTTAAAGTGTGCAGCTTTGAGATGGATAACTTACCCAACTTGATTGCCCATCGGAGTTTTCTGATCACTTCCAAGTGTTACTTAGCAGTTGGTTTGTGCATGTGCAAATCCACATGAAGGACTTGCCCAACACATGCTCAGCATATGGAATTACGCTTGGGTAACTTTTGCCGTTGTCTCTTGTACTCAAGGACACATGGTTTTCCAGTTTCAGTGGAGAGTGAACATCAAGTTGAGTTATTTATTCATTTGGGTGGAGTATATGGCAGCTCTGTTGTTTAAAAACTGATCAGGGTCATCTAAATACTTTCTTCATATGTACTAATCTCTGTATTTGTAAAAGGTCTGAAACATCCCAGGAAAAAGCGTAGGCAAGTAAATTAAGGAAAGCACGGAAGTGCATCTACAGAGACTTCACGGGGCTTCCCTTCAGGGCTCTCTTAGTACTTGTGCTTGACACTGACTTTGGGCATTTTTATCCACTTGGAATTCTGCTTTATGAGCTGTTTTCCAGTCATAACTTACACATACAGAGCTGATATACCTAACTCTGATGAGCATTTGGTTTTGTCTGATATTTTTACAGTCTACATGAAGGAATGCTGCAATTGCGAGTTATCAAAGATTTTTGAATGCAGCTGTTTAAAATACCATGATCTTATAACTTGCTAACATTTTGTCTCTCTCTCAATAGGTATAAACGACCAAGGATTGTACAGAGTTGTGGGGGTGAGTTCAAAGGTCCAGAGACTTCTGAGTATGTTGATGGGTATGCCTCTTTAATCATTTTTCCATGCATTAATTGTTTATGCTCACTCACTTTGCAATTTAATATTTCAGAGTTGTCTCTTGTGTACTTATGAATACATTCTTCTCCTGTACCACTTAATTGGATGCATTGTGTCCTCGGTCAAGGCCGAGTGTTTGCATCAGCTGAGGTCATACATATCCCTGTTAGTTATTAAGCAATGAAGGCAGAATTGTGTAGCCCATAGGTAGGTGCCTCTCACCATTGCCTTTCACAGTAGAGTAGCCGTCAGGCATCTGCGCCTGCACGGCTTCCACACTGCCAGTCTGTGATCTTGACAATACGTTTGGTTAAGCAAGGCCACAGGGACTCGCATTGGACCAGGGAGGCCCGTGTCTCGGGATTCCTTGTTTGCAGTCCCCAGCAGGCTCTTCTCCTTCTGTGCTGATGACACCATGTTCCTGGCATCACAGGCTGGAGGAAGCCAGAGTGAATTCATTTTGTTTGCCCAGACAGTCTGTGACTGATAAAGCTCTTTTGCATTATATGTGGCTGTCAGTTCAGTGCAACCTGTAAGATGCTTCCTGACTCCCCTACCCCAGAGCAGGCTGCCCTTGAGGGTGATCATAGCTCATCAGTTTGGAGGGCCTGGATACCAAACCAACCTGCCATCTTGGCCTTGCTATATAAGCATTTTATTCTATTTAGTCAACACTAACAGTGCCCTTAGGTGTGTTCAGGAATTCATTTAGATATGTCTGTATTGAAAGCTCAGTTTTGAAGGTATAATATAAACTAAGGTGAACAAAGCCAGCCGGCACATTACGGAGAGCGCAGCTTGCCGGGCTTTCTGTGAAGCAGGGGTTTCATGAGCAAGCACTTTCCAAGCTACGAACCACAGGGAAAATTGCCCACCTTCACTTGGAGAGCTTTGTTAGAATATATTCGCTTTCACGGGCTGTTTCCATCTTTTGCCTCTCTGGTTAAACTTGGGTGTGCAGTTCTGGCAGGTACAGTTTCCTTTCTGCTGTTAGTGGGCTCCAGATTAAACAGCCAGGTTGCCAGTGGTGCAGTAGCAGCTGGAAGAATTTACTGGGCGCACAGCATCTGCTTTTAGTTAATTTTAAAATTAGAAACACCAGCTTGGTGTTCCAGTGCTTAGGACCGGCCGATGATGCTGTTATCAGAGCGCATTTAGGCCAGAGGGCACATTTTGACAGTGAATTGGCCGGAAGGATGCTGGCGTAATTTTGATGACTTCTTTGTTCGTGCTCAAAGAAACATTGAACGAGTCTGTTTCTGTGGTCACCCCAAGTTAAGTTGTCTTGAAGTTTGCTCTTGGTCTCAGAAGCCCTATACTTACAGTATTGTAACTCTAACGTTAGTTTCTCTGCTCTTGGAAAAATCTCAAGACAGCCTTTATTACAGGTTATTTTAAAATTTTAAAGCCCTCAAAAATTCATGACCCGAGAGGTCTGCGAGATGGCCAAGAGGGTTAAGTGTGTGCTGCCTCAGAGAGAAGACCTGAGTTTAGTTCCGAATGCCAACATAGACGTTATGCGGGCTGCAGACACTTGGAACTCCGGTGCTGCCTTGCGGGAGAGACAGGAAGGTCCCAGGGGCTTGCTGGCCAGTCTAGCCAAACAGTGACTCGGTGTCAGCCTCTGACCCCCGTATGTGCATACAGGTCCATCTCCATGCAGGTGTCTAAGCATACTGATCAGTTTACCATTTTCTTCAGGTATTCTCTTCATTTTGATTAAATATTCAAAATTCAGTCATTTAATACCATTTAAAAAAGCATTTCAATAACCGTGTGTAACATATCCTGCACATGTTGTCGCTTTATTTTTTGCTTTACATTGTGTTAAGTTTATATCCTAAAGGGAGAAGGACATGAGCCTGCCAAATGTTTAATTTCTTCTAAAAGCCAATCAATCTTAAAAGTAATATGTTCATTTCAAATTTGAAAAATTTTTCAGAGCACATTTTATTGGCAATGGAATTTTCTTCATGAAAAATGAGAACTAATTGAATTTTTAAAGTTCCTGGAAGAAGTTCCAACCCATTTTATGTTTTTAGCAGAGGCCTGTGTTTACTTGATTGTCTAGTTCTTGAAACCTGTTTATATTTTTTTTAAATAAAAATGATTGCCAGTTTTACATGAAATTTTATCATTTCAGTTTCAAGTGTTTTAAGTATTCTTCAAATACTGAGATACAAACGTTTGAGGTTCTCAAGGCTTGCATATGTTTTGTCTCTTGTATATTGTCCCCTCATCTGGTATTCTTCCCTTTCCTGTTTCAGATTAATAGATAAAACTGTTTCTCCTCCCCACCCCCTCACCCTCCTTCCCCTCTCCTCACTACCTCCCCAACTTCTCCTCCTTCCCACCCTTTCCTCATGCTCTCCCCCTCCTCTTCTGCCACCAGGAGATGTCAGCTGACAGAAACTTCTCAGGACATTTCCCCCTTCTCCAGGCCAGGTTCAGGAGGAGGCCAGTCTTCCTTTCTGGGAATTGTTTTTTTCCTAGTCCCCTTCCCCAGGGATCAGCAGGTGGTGTCTGCTGACTTTCAAGCTCTCCCCAGCCTTCCCTGGAGCCTGCTTAGTAACTCTTCTCCTGTGTGGAAGCCACTTCCCTTCCCTGTCCCTTTGCTGTTTGTAGGTCAGGGCACATAGCGATCTGGGAGACAGTGTTTCTTCCTTTCTTTCTGTTTTTTTAGTATTAGACACTTGTAGCTGATGAGGAAGGCAAGGAAAAAATGACAGGTGCATCTTGGAGAATCAGTGCCAATTCTTAATGAGGCGGTCGTGTAAAGATGAATCACAATAGTTAGAGTAGAACTTGGCCATGCTCATAATCTTCCTTCTTCCCCATTAGAATGAAGCAAGAACAAAGCCAGGGGGATTCTGGGAAAAATGTGCTTATGCATGTGTGATCTGGTGGACTTTGGTATTTGTCAGCCCAGTGTACAAAAGTTTGGGTGGTTTTATTTCTTTTTAGACACAGAACCATACCAAACAAACATAACAGAATATATAATTTAAAATATTTTCTTGTTTACTTTGTTGGGCAATTTTCTTACATAGATTGGGCAAAATGAGCAATGCTGCTGGAAACATGATTTTTGGTGATAAAGCATATTTATAAAAACTGTACTTTTTGTTTTTTCAAGTATTCAAAAAAAAGGGAATTGGCCCACGTCCATGTTGGTCTGTGTAAGGGATGCTTTGCGGTGAGCATGGGGTGCATCCTTCCAGCCTCACAGGAATGGCTAGTGCTTATGCAATAAGGAAACATTCATATAGTATCAGAGATGCCAGCTCTTCAAGTCTGTGCTTGTCAGTTTAGGCTTTTAACTAATGAGTTAGGTTGCACTTTGGTGAGGAAGGAAACACAAGTCCCCTTCACTTATGCTAGAACACACATTCTAAATGAAAACTCTAGACATATTTTAGGTGTGAATCCTAAGTGAATTAACAAATTCCACATGGCTCGCCGATTGCAAAGGACTGCCAGGTATGATTGAGTTATTTGAAAACAGTGAACATTTAATAGATGATTAGTTATATAGACATACAGTCATTAACTTCTGATATGACAGCTGTTTTTGTTCTGTGAATTTACAAGGATGGCTCAGTTTTCCATGGAAAGAATATGAATCTCAAAATATAGGCTGATAATTTGGTAGAAAGTAGAAAAACAAAAGAGTTCCTTTAGAAGCCCCTTGGATCTTAAAATGGTGATTTGCTTGTAGCAAGTTTATTAAAAATGTTATCTGACTTGTATGTTAAAATGAGATTTAAATAATTGATTTAATGAGAAACAGAATATTCAGTTACAGAAGTAATTGGCTGGCAAAGCCGTTAGGACAGAATTATTTGGTCCTAGTTATAAAGGATTGCATCTTTAATCAGGGTGCTTAATTTGATTTCTCGAACAAGTCTGTGGCTTGTCTGACAGGCTCGGTAACAAATGGGTTCTGGATCACAGGGACTGATCGGAATGTAATCGGTGTCAGTTGTCATTGCTGGAGTTTATTGCATATTGCTGGCAGTTGCTGTAATCAAGACATGCTGGAGTGCCTAAAAAGTCTCCAGGCCTTGGAGTAATTGGCTTCGCGTGTGTGATGTTGTGGCTGTAAAGTAGCCATCACTTCCTGTTTTACTTCCTGAACGTTTGAGTCCCACATGGACAGTCATCCTTCTGTTGCATCCTGCCCATGCCTGCAGCTTTTCAGGCAGCATGCTCACTAGGGTGGTGGTCCCACTTTGACAGCCTTCCCTTTATAGTGCTTTTAAAAAGGAACAGCCAACAAGGTCCTTTTTCCCGGCAGAGGCAAATGTGGTGTAAGGCGGGAGGAAATCTGGAGATGACCAGTTAGTTCTTTGTTTTAGTTGACGCCTTATTCTGCAATGCGGGAGACAGAGTATTCCAGAAGTTTAGGAGTTTGGGAAACAAAGTAGGTTTCTAGTGGTGGTTTCACACTCTTCCTTAGATCCTGCTTTCTGCCTCCTTCCTTTTGGGAGCGTATCACCATGGGATGCCCTTGCTTTCAGTGACTTGGCGGTGGCAGTGATCTGCTGCTTTTAATAATTCATGTAGCTCTGCCCATGTCCTTGATATGTTAACATGCTCACCCTAGTTTATTGGAAAGTTTACTGTGCTTAGATCTCCTTGGTGTAGATGAGGATTTGGGACTCCTTGCTTGAGATGGCTCAATGTTTCCTACTGGTGCAGCATTAAAGCTCAGCTGTGGAAGACCCAGGCTGCCTGCTGGGCTGGGAATGCTGGCCCAGGCGGACAAGAGTGGCACTGTCCTCAGAATGTTTGCCTTTCCTGCTGTCCTGTCATTTTATTTTAACCTGGATTAAATACCGCAAACTTCTCCCCCCTTCCCCTCCTCCCTCCCTCCCTCCCTCCCTCCCTCCCTCCCTCCCCCCTTCCTCCTTCCCTCCTTCCCTCCCTCTCTACCTCCCTTCTTCTTCCTTCCTGTACTTGCACACTTTTTCTTTAGAACACTAGTTTTTTCTAAAACAGAGCATTTAGAAATAAAATATCAGCAACACACTTTTAGGACAAAGGAAGCTAGTTTAATTGATAGCGAATGCTGAGTGCTACCAGAGGCAGCTAGTGTTCTGGATAGGTAAGTGGATTGCAGTGCAGTAATGCGGGGTTACTGACATACATCCTTTTGCCTAAGGATTTAAGTGAAATCTTAAGTGATTTTGTTTTTACTTTATATCTTCATTGCAAATAATTTTTTAACTAATACAAAGAAATAAAAGTTATATGTTAATGTACTAACATGGAATATTGACACGTTTACAATTGAGCTTCCGTTGTGTTTCCGTTTGGGTTGATCATATGTTGGAGGAATACAAATACCGGGATGTGAGACCAGACCGCTGCCTCGCCCACTGGCATTCTGCCATTTTAATCATCAGTTTACCTTCATGGCGACAGTGTTTCTTATGGGAGAGCACAGGGAATAGTACCAGTGCCATCGGAGATAAACCTTACCCCTTCTGCTCATGGCACCACGTGCTCCAGGCTATCGCCGTCCGCATCCCCTGAGCTGGCTTCTTGGACTGCCGTGCCTGGTTTCATTCATCTGCACCCGTGGTCTATATTTTAGATCCTTTTGCTTTGATCTCTCCTGGAGACTTCTAAAGTTCTAGAAATGTCTGGTCATATGGGGCAGCTTAATGCTATTATGGCATAGTATACTTTCCCTGAGAAACTCCAGGATTGATTATCTGTTGTTTTAGCCACTTAAAGTAGGAAGTCTTGTGAGGTAGTCAGTACTTTGGATGGCCAGATTTTTAACGAATTTTTTATTTTTGCTTGTTCACCAGATGAAAAAACATGCAACGAGCTGGACCTGGAGAGTTCCGTAGATTGGGAAGTGAAGACGGTAACCAGTGCCTTGAAACAGTATCTGAGGTGAGGCCCTGTCCCTTGTCCACAGGAGCAGCCATGACTGTTGTCACCCACTGACAAGGAGAAAGTCTGTGAGATACACGATGACATTCCAGGAGATGGAGCCACCAGTAGTGAGGAGCATTCTCTGTTGCTGTGCAGAGACACCATGGCCATGGAGGGCTTGCTTACAGTTTCAGACACACATAGGGAGGGAGGGGATGGGAACTGGACCTGACATGACTTTTGACTCCTCACAGCCCAGCCCAATGACACTTTCTCCAGCAAGGCCACGCCTCCTAATCCTTCCCAAATAGTTCCATTCACTGGGGACCACACGTTCAAATAGATGAGCCTGTGGCGTCATTCTCATTCAAACCACTGCAAACATCATTACCAAGTAAACTGCAGCAGAGAAGCTTGGACCCTGAAATACTTGGAGAACACTTCTATTATATACGTGTAGCAACAGGGAATCTTTTGTTTATGTTTTAAGTTAAAGTGAAGACTTTGCTTTAATTTAGCTATCTTGAATAGAACAGTATGTGATTGGACATAAAAGTATTTAAAAAGTCTACTTGAGGTTTTAAGAAAATTTAAGATCTTTTATTACAGAGAATAACGTAGGGCTGGAATCGGAGAAGCATCCCGTGCTTTGGCTGTTGTTTCGTTGTGAATAAAGGAGCTCAGTTGTAGTGAGGAGGCAAGTAGGCCTGCTTTTCATCCCGCCCGGCTCCCGCGTGGCTAGCTTTGCCCCGGAAATAACAACACACAAATTGTATTCTTTTAAACACTGCCTGGCCCATTATATCTAGCCTCTTCTTGGCTAACTCTCACATCTTGATTAACCCATTTCTAATAATCTGTGTAGCACCACAAGGTGGTGGCTTGCCAGGAAAGATTCAGCATGTCTGACCTGGCAGCTGGCTCCATTGCGTCTGACCTCATTCCCAGCATTCTGTTCTGTCTACTCCACCCACCTATGTTCTGACCGATCAGGCCAAGCAGTTTCTTTATTAATTAACCAATGAAAGCAACAGATAGACAAATGACCTTCCCACATCACTCAGTGATTGCAAAGCTGGGGTTCACTGACAGCAACAACAGGGAGCTACAGTTCTGGCGGGAAGTCTGTGCCCGGGCTCTTTGAGGTTTGATGTTTCTGCAGCAGAAAGGGTGAGAGGTGTCTGTGCTTGCCCAGTGCAGGGCAGATGTAAGGTGCTGATACAGTTGTAGCCTGGTGTTCATGTAGCAGTACGTCGGCTTCCATGAGCACGAAAGGATCTAATTTGTGAGTTTTAAGACGGGGTATTTCAGATTCGGAGATCCAGAGAGGGTGTCTGATGAATCCCCATGACTCGCCGTGCTGCTTCAGGCCATGCAGCTCTCTTCCTGTTCTCTCAGTCAGCTGCTTGCTGCTGCCTGTTTGTCCTCCTTCTCAAGTCTTACTAAAATTTGGCATAGGGTTCAGGGATCCATTAAGCTTTTGAGCATTTCATATAAAGAAAGTTTTCCTTTTTAAATTTATTGTGTGCATTATTGTTACTCTCAGTTGTTACTGGAGCAAACACTAACGCTGACATCCATCCTTAGTATCCGTGACTGTGGTTTAGATGCGGATCGTATTGCGTGAGCCCGTCTGGGCGGGTGGCTGTATGCTCCCTGGAGAGATGGAATTTCATGTGCACTGTTCACTGTGGTGTCCCATCATGTCACTGAGGCATTCCAGCTGTGTTCTCACCTAGGGCTGGTCGGCCATCTAGAGGATTTTTGATGATACATGCATACTTTTTTTTGCGGTTTATTTATTTTTATTTTATGTGTATGGATGTTTTACCTGCACGTATGTCTATGTACCATGCATGTGCTGTGTCCACGGAGGCCAGATGAGGGCATCAGATCCCTTTGGAACTGGAGTTACATAGGATTCTTAGCTGTCGTGTGGGCTCTGGAAGCTGAACCTGGGTCTTCTGGAAAAGCAGTCAGCCAGCTTAACTGCTAAGCTGTCCATGGAGACTGTCATACACCATCCCCCCCCAATTGTCACAGTTACTGGAGGGAGTATTACTGATACCTGGTAGATGGAGGTTGGAAATGAGCTGCAATCATAGAACACCCTTCCCCCTCCTTCCCTAGAGAATTGTTTGATCCTGAATGGCAGTAGTGCTGAAGTTGAGAAAACCCCTGTTAGAGGGGCCAAGGAAAGAGTGGATGGGATACAAACAGGGTGAATTGTGCGTGCTCCATTCTGGTAGCCTTGGATCCATTTGCTGTTTGGTATATTATGCCTCGTGCAGAAGGAGAAATTGACCAAAATGACAGTTATCAATGGAAAGCTTGAGAAAAAACATTGAACTCTTGGTAGTAAATTACGCTTTCTGCTTCTTGTTCCATGGGGCCCCTTTCTTTTCCCTTGTAGGGAGTTAACTTGATAACCAAGAGACTTCTTATGCACACTTAACTTTTGGATCTTGATCCTCTCTGGAGCTAGTTCCTTCTGATCTTGTGTCGCGTTATTTGCCGTTTTCTCAGAACATTGCTGTATTCCATTGAATTCCACTTTAAATTAGACATTGCATACAGAAAATATTCTGAGACGCTGCTATTATACAACTTAGTCCTAAATCTGTTGAATCTAGGCGTTCTGCCTGTGTTAATGGTTATCCCAGGACAGCAGAAGCTTTGGGAGATGCACAAGGTTGGCTGCCATCTTTGCTCCTGTGCTGTGCTCAGCCACCGCGGGTGCATCAGTTAGGATTAGGTGATTGGTTTATTCTTCTGGTTCTTGTTTTAAGTGGGAGAAAACTTGACTTTTTTTTTTTTTTTACCTCCATATTCCTTCAGAGTTGTGGGCAGAACAATTATATTTCTTTTGACTGTTGCTCTTTGGATGGGGTAGAGGTCTGGAGTCAGCTGGCCGGGCGGCGTTGAAATCCCAGCTCTGCCACTTACAGCACCAGGACCTAGTGCGGAACTTTAGAGTTGTTTTCTTCTTAACCATTCGCCTTTGAATACTCGCTGCAAATTGCGTGCCACAATATCGATGCTAAGCTGGAGACAGAGGAAGGGTCCTGTCAAAGCACCAGGTAGATTTGGAAAGCAGGGGGAGCAGCCTGGCTGTGTCTTGGAAAAAGAAAACAGTCATAGTGAACCTATGCATGGTACCTCTTTTGTCTTCTGCTGACCTGGGGCAGTGTTGTACTTCTCTGTGTGAGAGGCCCGAATCCCAGGCCCGTCCTCGCCCGTCCCCACCCGTGTCCCCCCACCTCTCCCCACCCCCATGCCAGTGATGTCCTGTCCAGGCAGGCTGTGGTTTTGATGGCCAGTGATGTGTTCCTTGCCACAGTTTCCCATTGTTAGGCAAAAAGTGAGCTGTTTGTGGTGTTTCTGGTCAAGGGAACCTTACCTGGGGGAAACCTCTTTTAAGTGTGGAAATTGGAATGGGTCTTTAAGGAAGGAAACAGCAGCTTGAGTAAATATTATGATTTATATCCTCCAGCAGATCCCAGCGGGTGGTGGAGAGGGGTGGCTGGAATACATGTCTGGTGGGAGGCTGAGCCGTGCAGTGAGTCAGGCTAAAAGAATCTGGATGAGAACTTGTCATTTCTATTACTGCTTCCCTAGCATCAATGATATTTATTTTTATGTAGTATTGCCAGCTAGACATATGGCAGTGATAGAAGTAGCTGGCAGAAGATACTTAGACACAAATTCAGTCTTCCTGGAGGAGAAATGCTCTCCATGGTGTTGCTAAGTATGCTTCTTTCCTTTTGACCCAGCACCCGAACTTTCCTTCTGTGCAAATGGGTAACCTTTCGTTTCCCTCAGGACTTTCTGCTGGTCTGTACTTTGAAATGAAACCCCGAGAACATCTTCCTCCTGGTTGAGGCTGCGATGTCACAGGGAATGCTTCTCTTTAGTTAGTGAGGGAAGGAGGGTGGAGAGAGAGCGCCAAGGCAATTAGCTCCCTCAGTCTTCGGTTGCCCTTGTTGGCAAGTTCTGCTTTGTGTGTCTGGGTACACTGAAAAATATGTCCTAAAACATATTTTTATGTAGCTTTGATTTTTGAATAGCTTCTCTTGGTGAATCTCATGGGTATTTTTTATTCTAAGTAGAAACACTCAGGTGTATGTACCTTTTACAGCTTTTTTTTGAAGAATAACTATTTGGAGTGAGCTGCACATATTTATAGTATATATTCTCATAACTTGGTGTCTCTATACACCTGTGGGCCGTCATCACAATCAGGGAGCTGAGCCTGTCCATCACCCGTCTGAGCTTTTCTTCCAGTCTCCTTTCCTCCCTCATCATGGCCTCATCAGTAGGAGCATTTACCTGCCTTCTGTCTTTGTGTGTTAATTTACACGATTATGATCTTTATAAGTGCAAGTTTTCAGTATGTACTTCAAAGATGTCAGCTTCACTTATTGGAATCATTGTTGTGGCATGCTGAAATCCACTGATCTATCGCTGTGCGTTTGGGTGGTCTGTAGCTCTTGGCTCTTGTGTGTAAAGATACTTAAATGTCTGTTGAAATCTTGGTAGAGACAAAGACTTTCATTTCTTTCGGATGAATCCTAGTGGGCACACTCCTGGACCATGTGGAGATATGTGCTTAGCTTTCCTGGAAACTGCATGGCTTCTCCAGATGAGATGCATTGCCCGCCGAAAGCGCGCAGGTCCTGCTCCCTCTGTGTCTGCTGAACACGGTTGGCTTTTCTTACTTCAGTCGTTAGTGTGAACTTCCTCAGTGTCCAGAATTTTCTTGCTGTGTGAACTTATTCACCGTCTGTGAATATCCTTAGTTGAAGTGTGGCCTTGGCTGTCACTCCCTTCTTTTTTTGAGATAGGATATTCAGTCCATTGAACTTGGAGCTTACTGATTGGTCGGTCAGTAAGCCCTGGGCAGGTCCTTATGCCACTGCCTCCTCAGAACTGGCTGATACATTGTAGCACCACACTCTGCTTTTGATGTGACCCCATGTTTGTCACAGGTGCTTTCCATACCATCTCCTCAGCTCCTCTGTTTTTATTGAAGCCAAAGAGTGAGCTGCCTATGACTTAAACTTTCAATAATTGATAAAGATTTGTTTCATAGCCAAGAATATAGTTTGTCTTACAAAGCAAATTGCCCATGTGTTCTGATCTTTGTATACTGCTTTTAGGTAGACAGTCATTTCATTAAAGCGCCTGACTTAGGTGAAGGGGTGGGTAGTTTTACTCAGACTTTCTGTGTCCTCACTAATTTTCTTTCTCCTGCTTCCAATTCCCACCTCTGCCCGCAGCTGTGGGTTTGCCTTCTCCATGTAGTCTTGTCAGATTTTGCTTGTGTTTGAAGCGTTGTTGCTTGATCTGTGAGCGAAAGCTTGTTCTGTTCTCATGAAGTCCACCCTTTTGTCTACATGGAAGAGCCTCCCTTGTCTCTGCACTGTTTGCAGCTTTTGCATAAATGTTTAAGTGTGTGAGTGCACACGTGCATGCTTAAGTGCACGTGTGTCTTTGGTTGTGTTTTTAAACAATCAGGGCAGTTCCGAGCCCCAGGTTTATGGCCCCGTGGCCTCCAGAGTAGACATTGTGTTACTCACAGGATAAAATCCGCTACTATTCGCATAATGCAGTTTGCAAAAAAAAACCAAGTGCTGTATATATTTTTACATTGTTACCAATTTGATTTTATCCCACTGTTTCATAGCGATAGATTACAAAGCCATCGATTTTCTTTTTAAATGTTTCTTCTGAATCAGTGGTTCTCAGCCTTCCTAATGCTGAGACCTTTTCATACAGGGGGTTGTGGTGACTCCCAACCTTAAAACTTTTTTTGCTGTACTTCATAGCTCTAACTTTGCTACTGTAATGAATCATAATGTATATGTCTGATATGCAAGGATGTCTGCTGTGTGACCCCAAAAGGGTCACGACCCACGGTTGAGAACAAGTGCTCTATATGTATTTAGGCATAAAAATGAAAACCAGTTATTTTAACAGAAATATCAGAGGAGAGGATTTGTTTTAAAATTCTTTAACATTTTCTGTGTATTATTTTGATATTAATTTTTTTAATATTTATTTATTATGTATACAATATTCTTGTCTGTGTATATGCCTGAAGGCCAGAAGAGGGCGCCAGACCTCTTTACAGATGGTTGTGAGCCACCATGTGGTTGCTGGGAATTGAACTCAGGACCTTTGGAAGAACAGGCAATGCTCTTAACCACTGAGCCATCTCTCCAGCCCCTGATATTAATGTTTTAAAGATGCTTTCAAAACTGCTTATATTTGGTTATATAAAATATTTACATTAAAATATTAGTATATGAAACTTTATTTGCAGATAGATGTTCAGACACTTTCCGAGATTAGATATGAAGTGTTGACCTGATAAGAACTTGTTATTGGTTAGGAGTTGGCAGCGTCCAGGACAATCACCAGTTCGTGTTGTGGTTTCCTTATCTTTTGGTATTTAAAGGTTAACTCAGACACGCACAAGCAGTTTAATGTAATGTTATAAGTAACTCGGTGATGCCTGTTTGGATCATTTGGTAATTGAACTGTTTCCTCCCCCACCCCAGGAGTCTTCCAGAACCTCTTATGACCTATGAGTTACACAGAGACTTCATTGTTCCAGCCAGTAAGTATTATGTGGATATACAAAGACTCAGGTTTGTGGTTGATGGTGTGCACACATTAACAACTTCCACATGAAAGTTTAACTTAATAGTGTTACCATCTGTGTTGAAAGGAGAGATCACTTTTAGGTGGAAGTGAGCAGGGACTGGGGAGATGACTCAGTGGTTAAGGGCGCTGACTGCTCTTGCAAGGACTTAGGTTCAATCCCCAGTACTCACTTGATAGTTCACAGCTGTCAGTAATTACAGTTCCGGGGGACCTGACACTTATAGCAAATACCAATGCACATAAAATAAAAATAAATAATTTTAAAAAAAAGCAAGCAAAAAGATTTGGTAGCGGATCATGCGTGGACATTAACAGGTACCCATTCCTTCTTTGCTTTGGCAGAAACTAAATGTGTAAGGCCACAGCAGATTCTTGACTCCAGGGCCAGTTCTGTCTTCATTACACTATGGATACCTGGTATTGGCACGAACAGAATACTATAGAACAGGCTGATCAATATTCAGCTTTTAGGGGGTTGAATAGATAATGGATTTGGAGACGGTATAATCTGGAGATAGTTTCACTTACAAAGACATTTATATAGACAACACAGACAGAAGGATTATTATGAGATAATGCCAGAAGCACAAACTACTTGATAATGAATCATATAGGCTACATGTTGAGTGAAAAAGGCCAAGAGCTGGTGAATTTTAATGTGAAGTTAGGTAGTTTTTGACTCCTGTACCCATGAGTGTTTGTTCGTGCCCATTCTGTGTATCTGCAGTATGATGAGAGTGTGTGTTTGGTGCAGACAGAACTGGGTATGTTTTTGCCGTACAACTCTGTTTTTATCCTCAGTACGCTTGATCATTCTTCTGAAGGGTACTGCTGTTAGCTGATTCAGAGTTAAGGACATTGAGAGTGAGGCTTACATATAAAGTAACTTGATAGATTGTAGAGGCCATTACTTAAAATTAAAACTTAGCTCCTCCACTGGCTGGACTCTGCAGTATTGGTTTCCATAGGCTCATTGACAGTAGCTGAAATTGCCCCCCCCCCCCTGGACTTTAATCTGTTGGAAAACTTACAGCAATCTCCTTGGGCCCTATGCCACTGCTGCCTGAACATGGCCTTTAATGTTGCCTTCCTGTGAGGTTGCAGCTCCAGACTGTGAGATTCCTAATTTGTTGCGGAAAGAGTCACTGTGTTGGCTGTATTAAACTGCACACAGAGAGAAAGCTTTTGAGAAAGGGCAGAATACAGTTGTGTTGAGAGTTATTTCAAAAAAGATTTGTCTGATCAAGGAAGTGGGGGAAGGTTTTCTTGGCAAAAACACAAGCAAATGCTTAGTTGTTTTGATTTCTTCCCTGTGGCATTTTTGGCAAACAAGAAAGAAATTAAATTTAGCTAGAGGAAAGTTTCAGGTTGCTCATCATATATCCTGGAAAAGCTGAGGAGCGTCAGCCTGCATCTCTGAGTTTTTGCATTCTGGAGAAAGAGTGATTATGGAATGAGGTTTTACATTACACAAGTTAGTGTCATGAGACTTATTACCATGTATGACTAACAGTGGAGTGTTCAGAATCCTAATTGCAAATGTCTTTTATCAGGTGAGGAAGCTCCTACCCATTAGGAGGTAACGAGGCCCCAGATGGTGGGGTTTGCTGGTCTATTAAACTGTGTGTTGTAAAGAGCCAGGTAGATGGAATAGTTCTGTCACCTGTTGGGTCCGTACCCAGAGTTTAGTTTCCTGCCCGTGTGGCCTTGCTATCAGAGTTTTCATGCTGATTTGTATGACAGGGCTATTATAAAGGAATACTGCAGCTCCTGTAGTTGGCATGGATTTGCACCTCCGTGCAGTAGCTGTTGAAAGGGACCCACACTAATCTGGTTTAATGAGGAAAGCTACACGTGCTAAATGGGTTTACTCGGTCCAGTGTGTTTAGGGCAGAGTTTGACTTCTCCTTTCCCTCCCTTGTGAGTACCTGCCCTCTAGTACTCAGTGCCTCCTGGGAAGGGGCGTGGGAGCAGATCCTCTTGCATTTTGCATATGTGCTTATAAGAATTGAGTGCAGTTACAGAAATCAGATGGCCAAAGTTACTCTCCTCTTTTTGAATACTGGTGAATTGGGATTGTGGTTAAACTCATTTTCCGTTGAAAGCGGTGCAGCTTACCTGGTTTTGCTACAAGTCTGCGAGCTCAACTGGAGATTAAAGTGACCCCACACAGCCAGCCTTTGTGGTTGCCCGTCATGCCAGCATGGGAACTAACTGATTCTTTCCCACTGTGTGGCGGTTTCTGTGTGTTCTGGATGCGGAGAGCATGCTCTCACCTTCACTGAAGGGGCGTCAGGCTTCGCTGGCCCCTTCTTTTCCTTTCATCGTTTTATTTATTTTATTCCTATCATTTTCTGTTGAGAATGTGAGCTTCTCAAGTTGATAACACGAAGAAGATAAGAATTTTGTTTGTATTCTCGCTACAAAGTGTGTGTATCTTTTTGTTTCTTATTGTCAAAGAAAAACTCAACTGTTCTGTACTGAATTCATCGGAAACATTTTTCAATCTTAGAAATTCAAAAGCCTTAACTGTTGACTGCACTTGTTGGGCTTTACTAAAAGAACCAGAAGCACCTATCTACGAGATACTGTGCTCTGCTTTGGGGGCTAGAAATCCATAAGCTACAAGTGCCTTGAATTGAAAGGATTGTGTCTACTGTGCAAAGCCGGTAGCAGCTACCTGAAAGCCTTCCCCTGTGAAGCCTGTTGCTCTTGAGAATGATGTAGTCTGTGTTCTATAGTCAGTGGTGAGCATGGACCATCCTGCTGGGTTGGACTCATGCTGGACTTAACATGAAGTAGATAGCTTAATCCTGGGTACCAGTCTGGTGTTGTGTCTTTAAAACCAGCTTCCAACTGTTGCCTTCCAACTGTTGCTCAAACTAGAATACTTGTGTTTCTGTGTTGTGTGTTTGCTTTTTATAGCCAGGCTACTTGTGCAGCACTGAATAACCAAAGCCATTTTTAATGAGAGACAGTGTAGGATCCAGTGCATGGTATTTGCTTAACCAGAGCATTCCATTCGATTCTTGCTGGGAAGCACACACGGGGAAGAATGCGGACATGTGGGCATTACAGGGATTGAGTTTGTAATGTCTCCTGCTTCGCTTAGCTGGAAGTGTTCACTTCACAGTAGATGAGGCCCACAGGAGGACAGGCTGAAGCTGTGTGTCTCCTAGGAGCTACTTGGAAGGTTGCTGCTTCTAACTTCCTTACATTATGATATTATTGGCACATGTCATTTACATATTAAAAGAATTTATGGTCTGCCCATGTGTTTTGTTGAGCTCTCATAAGCTTGCTCATATCTACGGCCTCATCGGCAGCTGTGGTTGTTATGACATCATAAGCAAATAGACATGGAAGTGTGATGGATGCTGATGTGCGGTTTCCCAGTTCTGATTTTTTTTTTGTCACAGCAAACTCTTTAATTCTTGGCACAGTATAGGAATTTATTGTACAATTAATTAAGTACCCTAAATAAAAACGATATGCTTTTCATTCTTTTCAGCTAATATCAATGAAAATATGGCAAAATGCAGATAGCATAAGTAATAGAAAATAATGTATTTTTGGGGTGGGTAGGACTATATTACCTTGTGGAAATGCCTATTAGTAGAAAGATTTAATGTCAAAACAAAACAGTGTCAATTGAAGAGCTCAAAATGCAGGTACGGGAGAAGTGTGTGTGTGTGTGTGTGTGTGTGTGTGTGAGAGAGAGAGAGAGAGAGAGAGAGAGAGAGAGAGAGAGAGATCTGGTGGATAGTAGCTCCTGGGAAGAGGGACTTGAGACATGAAGTGGAAGGTTCTACTCTTTTCTCAAACAGATTGTTAGAAAGGAGGAACACATCAGTGGAGGGGGAATCATCTCCTTAGCTCACATTTCCAAGTGGTGATTCCTGAAGTATCACACTAGGTTTTCATTGTAGAGTCGGGGAATAGCCGTCTTTCATTACAGCGCCTTTAAGGTTCTAACGTCCCGATGACAAAATTTCTATCCTTGATAGTGATTCTTATTCCTGTGCACATATGACTGCTTCTTCACTTTCTGCTTTTATTTTTATTTAAAAATCAAGGCAATGATTTGAAATTATGTTCTTATTAATAACGTCAACATTAGACAGTCATCTTAATTAACATCTATAGACTTTTATATACAACCTCTTATTAAACATTTCTTTTGCTTTTGATATTTTGGCTGATAAATGTGCTTTTTCTTCTGATGTATTTAGTGCTGCTGTTGGACTTAGGTCACGTGAACTGGGCTGACTAGAAGAGATGCTGGCAAGGGAGAGACTGCTGGGGCAGCGTGTGCCATTAGCACCAGCCCGGGAAAGGCATGCATTAGGAAAGGCCAAGAATGCTTAAGTGCCTTCTCTTTTCTGATCCTGAACAGACAAACTGTTATGATTTCTAGTTAGGGGTAATATTTTTGATTCTAAGTACTCTATTAACTCTTTTTCCTTTCCCTTTTTAAAAAAGAAAGTGGCAGCCCAGAGGCCCGTGTTAATGCCATCCATTTCTTGGTGCACAAACTGCCAGAGAAAAACAAGGAGATGTTGGATATCTTGGTGAAACACCTAACCAAGTGAGTGTTCCTCCCTCTGCCTGCTGAGGCTGGGTAATGATTGTCACCACTGCCGACAGCTATATATTGCCCCATCCCAGATTATGGAAGTATGATTATAAATCTGTTAGCAGACTGAGCTTGGTTCTACACACACCCAGTGCTGTGGTTGAGCATGTCCTTTAAAAACTCCGGTCTAGTCTGTGGGTCTGGGCCATTCATGTTTCCTACCTAAAAAGCGGAATATATTAACTCAGTCGAGAAATTAACCTTTTCAAAGTAAAAACGAACCCCAGATCCCTCTACCTATAAAATTTGAGTGAGGAGCAGTAGTTGGAACTGTGGTTTCAGTGGTCACAATAGAACACAATAAATGACGGCCCTGCTCTGTGATGTATGGAGTAGAGAGAATGCTGAAATGGTTTCAGCTCAGTGCAAAAGGGCAAGGTGTGCAAGACCTCGGAGAATGTGCGTCAGACTGAGCCGTCATGCTGGACGGTCTCTGGTGGGACGGCGTCCTGAATCAAGTTGTAGGACCACTGGGAGCACCAGGACTGGGAGGAGTGGGTGACGCTGCTGTGATGGAGCACACTGATCGTCAGGAAGTGGGGCAAGGACCTACACATCTGTGGAAGCAGGGGAATGATGATCTGGGGGAAGGGGGAGTGTCCAAGCCGCTGTTTTTCTATGTGCAGCTAATACATGATAAATGTGGATTTTGTGGAAGAAGACATGCTTGTTGAAATGACTAGCAGTATGACTTACTCTTGTGAGACAAATACGATTAATTTAGGAAATTCTATTTTTATTTTCAATCAGCGGCTCAAGACAACTGCACAGTTCTTTATAGCTGCACAAATCCGCTTATCTGTTTAATATTGAGCATACACATATAAGCAGTGATAATGGACCTGCTGAGAGAATGGCTGCCTAGGAAGGAGCTGGCTATCATGGGGACTGCCAGCGGGAACAGCTTCATAAAACTTCACCTGGGCAAGGTCCCAGCTGTGTTAGCCGTCTTTCCATGCCCGTGACACACCCCGAGAGAACACCGAGAGGAGGAAAGCCTTGCACTGCCTCGCTCACTGCTGAGCAGCTGCTGCCCTAGGTCAGCTGACTGACTCTGTTGCTTTGGACAGGAAGTGAATCCGAATAACATGATGGAGGGAGCCTGGAGCTGAGGAGACTGGTTATTGTGGGGTGGGGGTGGGGGGGAAGGTGGGGAGAGAACGGAGAGCCTGTGTGAGCCGCTGCTGCTCCTGGTCCAGCTGTCACAGGCGGACACCGAGGGCAACTTGAGTTAAGGAAATGCCGAGTTACAGAATAGCGAATGCTCTGTCTAGATCACTACCAAACAACGATTCTTTTCCTTCTTCTTCAATATTAGTGTGTCAAATCACTCGAAGCAGAACCTAATGACCGTGGCAAATTTAGGAGTGGTGTTTGGCCCAACCCTGATGAGACCTCAGGAAGAAACTGTTGCCGCCATCATGGACCTGAAGTTTCAGAATATCGTTGTAGAAATATTAATTGAAAACCATGAGAAGGTACCGTTCTTTTCTTCTTGACTAGTAGTTATGAGTTTGGTTTGTTAGCGTGTGCATGGCCTTGTTATTAGTCTGTTTCTGTTTCATCATGGCTGTGAACTTATTCCTAAGTAGTTAACATCCAGTTCTGTCTTCTGGTGGAGTTCCGTGAACTTGATCCTTACCGGCCTCCTCTTACCTCAGTGCTTTATTGAAGAAACATTGCAGCCAGATGCAGATGAATAGGCAGTGCCAATGTGATTGTGGATGTTTAGGCTTTAAAGAAAAAAATAACATTCCTGTCCTTGGATTGCCCCAGTTTTATGTGTTAGTCACACTCTGTGCTTTTGGTCAAGTGAAGACTTTTTAGCTTAGAGAAAAAGCAAATGGAAGTGAGATGGAGCTGGAGATGATTTGAGGTGGACCCTTTCTGCCGCTGTGACAGAGTACCTCAGTCAGCTCACAAGGAGAGGGCCTTATCTTGGCTCACGGTTTCAGAGGTTCCTAGGAAGCATGGTCGTGTGGCCTTGCTGTTTGGGCCTGTGGAAGCATGGTAAATCCTGCAATACTGTGTGGAAGAACAGGCTGGTTTCCTGTTGGAGCCATGGACAGAGAGAGACAGGAAGGGAAAAGGAGTGAGGAAGGAGAGAGGAAAGCGAACTTCTCTCTCATGAGAATTTCCCTCTCATGAGCCAGGATTGCTCACCAAGAAGGATGCATTGCTTTTGCCTCTGGTTAGAGCTTCAGAGCTTCAGTCTGGAGCATGGGGGAAGATTCCCTTCAGGTTCTGGAGGATTTGGTTCAGTACTGTGTGTGATTGTGGCTGGTGTGTAGTCTGCCCCATGACAGGATGCAGCTGACTTCTTTTGGAGGCCATTCAGTGCAGGTGTGTGTGTGTGTGTGTAGGTGTGTGTGTGTGTGTGTGTGTGTGTGCGTGCGCGCGCGCGCGTGCATGCATCCTGCACTGCATGAGAGAGTGGCTTTATGCTCAGTTGTGTGTGTGTGTGTCCACACGCACCCCACACTGTGTGAGAGGGTGGCTTTGGATGCTCAGTAACTTTCTTCTTCATCTCCACCCTCAAAACTAAGTTTCTTCCTGTTCAGAAAAACAAAGATAGGCGCTCAGGGCTGGACAAGTCGCACTTTTACCCTTAACAAAACATACATAGTTTAACAGAAAAGCACTTTTTTCGGGGGTGGCATAGCAAAGCTCCTAGCCTTTTTGGACCTCTCTTAATTTGAAGAGTTCTATCCCTCTTCTTGTCCTAAAACTTTCACCTTGTTACTTGCACTGCAAAATCTGTGGGTGAAGAATTTCTGGTTTAAAGTCAACTCTTAGATGGCTGTCATCGTGTTCAATACTTTGTGATCCAGGCAAGACATGACTTTAGAGTCTTCCAAGAACTCGTAGAGGGTCTCCCATTCTGCCACTGTAGCTCATAACTCTAACTAATAACTCTCCTGTGACTGCCTCTGAGATAGGGGATGTGAAGGCCATAGAAACACTAGGACTCACATTTGTTTGCTAAAATGAGGGTTTTTCTCTTTTTTAAATTAAGATCATATTGTGTGCTAAGCCTGTATCAGGTACTGGAGTGTAGAGATGAAACCGGCAGGCCTTGTTGGACAGTCAGCGAGAACCATATTAGGTTCTTTTTTTTAAAAAAATATTTATTTATTTATTATATATACAATATTCTGTCTGTGTGTATGTCAGCAGGCCAGAAGAGGGCACCAGACCTCATTACAGATGGTTGTGAGCCACCATGTGGTTGCTGGGAATAGAACTCAGAACCTTTGGAAGAGCAGGCAATGCTCTTAACCACTGAGCCATCTCTCCAGCCCCATATGAGGTTCTTAATCCTGTAACTTGTATCTCAGTCTAATGTGCTTTGAAGCTTTTTTCTTCGGTAGTGTCTGTTCTTTCTGCTGGACGGCTGAGGACAACGGTACTTGTATATACTTATCTGCCACCCCTTAGAGACACAGGGAATGGCTATTGAATGAAGTAATGCATCCTGTACACCCTGAGAGAACGAGGCAGCAGACAGAGACAGAGCCCCTTTGGATCAACTGTGAGGACAGCTCTTCTTGGGTCTCTGAGTTCCTGTTTGTTGGAATAGTTTTGGTGTGTGCAAGCATAGATTTGTTCTGACAGGATAAACTCAGTACCTGATCTATCACTTCTGTGGTAAGGGCAGTTTGTTTGGGTAGAAGAGTCCTCTTGTTCTGGTAGCTGCTAGTGGTGAATTTATGCCATCGTTTCTGATCCGGTCACACTGTTGTTAAGCCTCCTTGGCATGCACTGAGTCACTTGGGAAGGTGGCTACTGTTCGTTTTTAGAAGAACGTATCATTAGACTACCATCTTCGGAAAGTCTCAGTAACTCAGCTGTCGGTCTAGTAAATCTTTATTAGAGACCGCTGGTGCAGACGTTCATCTCTGAGACTGGGTAAGGTGGACTGCCAGCCCCCTGCTGGGAAATGTGCATGCGATGTTTCTGCAGGGACGTCGGGACAGCCTTCCACGTTGTTAGATCTTGTGGTAATTTCTGAGTACCCTGGTGAGCCAGTCCTTGTGTCCAGGCAGAAGAGGGCAGCCGTGCGCTCAACTCTCAGCCAAGCATAGGTTTGTGGTTCTTCTCTGACCTCTCCATAAATTAAACTGCTGAGATTTCCTCTTTTTTAAAAAATATGTTTTTAATTGAAACAGAATTACATCACTTCCCTCCATCCTTTCCCCCTCCAGCCTCTCCCAGCTACCTTCTCTCCAACCCCTCCATGTCCTTCTTCCACAGTGTTCTCTGAGCCGTGGATTCGGGGGCTGTGATGGAGGTATACCCACTGGGGCTGGGTTTCCCACAGTCCACTGGTCTCTTAGTGTGTTCAGTTGTGGTCCTCTGCAGTTTTCCATTTGCTGGAAAGACAGGCTTCTTTGATGAAAGGTGACGGGGGCACCCTGAGATTCCTCTTGTGGAAAGGGATGTAGGCACTTGGAAGGAAGGCTGAGGCTGGACATAAAGGAGGACATGGCTGAGGGGGTGGCAGCTTGCTTTCATTCACACTCCCTCACTTCCTGGCTTCCTCCCCTTTCCAGTTTTCCTTGTGTATTTCAAAGTTCTTTGTTTCTGAACCGTTAACGGGGCTGCATGTCTGAGATAGGCCCTGCTGTATGGAAGAGTAATCCTGTTGTCACGGGTGGGTGTGAAAACTCCACGTGAGCCACCCCCCCCCTCGTGGACTGGACTGGAGGGAGGGAGGAGTAATTCCCCTGGTAGATGTTTAGGAAAGTGAGAGTGAGGGCAGGGGGGCTTGGAAAGGCTGCCTTACTGCAGTGAGTGGAGGGGAGGCCAGCCTAGCCTCAGGGAGTGTGGACGGTGCCCAGACAGAGGGGCAGGGCACACGAGGACTTGACGGAGTTGCTTTTTTTTTTTTCTTTTTTGTCATTGCTTATTTTCCTTCCTGGGATTGGGGAAAGTGTTGAACGTTGGAAAGTCACCAACGCAAAGAGGAAACGCCGTGTTATTGAGGCAGAAGAGCTCCAGCTGGGTTTGGAGTGAGGAAAAGACCAAGTTCTCTGCTGTGGAGAGCATAGTTTCTCAGCCCCTTTGCTGTTTCTTATAAAATCTGTATGTACTTGCTAGGAAACTCACTCCATATGTCTTGGTTTCTTTTGCACACTAAACATTAAGATGTTGTTTTAGAAGAGATGGTCCTGGGCCAAGACCATTATCAGGGTGGTGTGTGTGTTTTCTTTTCTTTGCAAGACTGAAAATTGTGTTTTCATTGTAAAATGGGCACTTTGAATTCCCACAGATTTTCCGACCGTGGTTATACCTATGGCTTTGCTGCTTTTATTTATTTAATTCAGAGCACTGTTTCCTGAGTGCCTGTTGTGAGTTAGGTGTGCGAGTCCTGTTATGGGGAGGAGAAGTGTTTAGAAGTAGCCGTAAGATACCCTGTGGGAAACTGGGAGGATGCTGAGGACTTCAGGGGAGAGACTATGTCATCTTTGGGGTGTGTGTATGTGTTGAGAAGTATTCCTGAGAAGCTAGTGAGAGTGGGCTGTAGAGTGGGGGTGTAGGGTAGGAGATGGCTGACTAGAGAAGCAAAAGCGGAAGTATAAGATGAGGTTAGAAAGGGAATTGGCGGGCTGAGAGCGCCCAGGTACCTGGGTTGCTCAGGGTTGGGTGGGCAGGCTGAGAGCACCCTGCAGGTACCTGGATAGCTCAGGGTTTTATGTAAACTTGCTTTAGGCCACTTAGTTGACTGAGGTTATAACAGCAAGTAGAGGCACAAAGAATGAGGAGGGAGGGTTTAGAAAGATTAAGGGCTGGTCAAGAAGTCAGGGCTTTCCAGGGTGAAGAACATCACTCAGCAGGATCCGAGCTTTCCAGGGTGAAGAACATCACTGAGCAGGATCCAGTGTCTCCTTTATGTGGGTCTCAGAGGAAAAAGGAGCAGTTCAATCCTGGGAGAACTCGCAGGAAATTCAAATAGAAAGTATAATATAGTTCAGGATATGAGACTGGCTTTTGGTTTATTTAAATATTGCATTTGCATCTTAGGACGCTAATGGGGTTGGAGGTTTTTGTGTTTACAGACATTTAAAATACTTACTGAAAACATAAAGTTGAGCATTATTGTGTGTGCCTATAGTCCAAAAGACTGAGGCAGATGGACACTGAGTTCCAGGACGGCCTGCCCAGGGAGTTGACCAGACTAGATAGCATAGATGAGGCACGCGCTTCAGGCTTCTGTAGTGCATCCTGTCTAGACAACACCAATGAACACCTAAACTGTGTGCTCATTCAGGAACACACGGTAACCCGCCTGATCTCATCAGTACGTGCGATCATAGCTACACAGGCACGGAATTTCTGTATATAATACCCTGTGAGAAATGAGCTTGTTCATGGTGACACAGCCAGATGAGGGTGCTTGAGCTTACACTGGGAGTGTTTGATGTCACTTGCTTTGATATTGCTAGAATCAAATCCTTGAGAAAAATGTCAAGATTTT